AGAAATAAATCGGAAAATAAATATATAAATTTTAAAAACGAAAATTAATATTTTGTCATGTTTGTAATTAAAAACCTAACTTTATAAATAAAAAGAAGTATATACATATATTGTTAATTAAGTTCTTATACCCGAAAGTGGAATGAACCGGTACAGCCCAATTCCACTGGATCAAGGAAATATTGGGCCATCCGGTCTGGCTGGGTTTCATTTAATATGGGCTTTTCAAGTAGCCCAAGCTTCTCATCACTAACTCAATAAGTGCTCCAAAATGATACATGTAATGAAATAAATTCTGGCAAAAGTCGATGCAATTTGATTGACATGAAATTTAAGATATTCTAGTAAAAAAAAAGAGCAACTTTCGAATATAGCAAACAGAAAAATCATATTTGTATGCTATAACTATAGTTTGCATAATTGCGCTTCATAACAAATTTTATGTTTGCTATGGAGCTTTTGATTTGTATAATTCGTTACAAATATCCAATTTTATACATATTGTTCAGTTTTGTATAAATTCATTTATACATTGTAATTTGTATAATAAGATCTGTATTTGTATAATTATAAGTGTATATGACAAAAATATATGTATTTGTATTTGTATATACACTTTTCTCTCACTTTATACAAACACAAATGCATTTTATACATTTTATACAGAAATGTATAAAATGACTAATTGTATCCTGAAAATGGCTAATTGTATACCGAATCAGATGGCAAAAAAAAAGGGATTTTGTTGCGAATTACAATTAAAATAAACTATGGCTATAACATTTAATTTAAATTAATAGTTTGCTATTTCATACAATTTTCCCAAAAAAAAATATAGTTTAAAATAAGTTATAGATATTAAACTAAATATAAATTATCTCAGGAAATTTGAAAAAAAAATTAAAGTTGAATTATTTTTAAATATTATAATATATCATTCTTTTTAGGATTGATTACCAGAAAAATATATAGGGAAAATTGTATAAAATAACAAACTATTAATTCAAATTAAATGTTATAACCACAGTCTGATTTAATTGTAACCCCTAGCAAACTGTTGTCATTTCGCCTCTCTCCCTGAATTTCTCGCTTGCCACTCTCGTTTCTCGCTGGGCAGTCTCACCTCGCATCTCTCACTTTACACAAACACAAATGTATAAAAAAATTGTGTTTGTATAAAGCGAGAGGAAATTGTACATATACATATCTTTTCATTCCACTCTCTCCCCCTCCCAGATCTCACCTGCTACTCTCCCAGATCTCGCTCGCTACTCTCAGTCGCCTCTCTCACTTTATACAAACACAAATGTATAAATTGCATTTGTGTTTGTATAAAGCGAGAGAAAATTGTATATACAAATACAAACACATATATTTTCGTCCTATACACTTATGATTATACAAATACAGATCTTTCCCTGCCTAGTTTTCTTTTGTCTTTCTCTCTTTCTAGTTTTATACAAACACAGATTATACAATTGATTCTTTTGTATATGTATACCGAAACAGATTATACAATTGGTTCTTTTGTATATGTATAATGAAATATACATATTAATAGTCATAGCAAACATAGAATTTGCTATGCAGCGCAATTATGCAAACTATAGTTATAACTGTAACGACCCACTAGGTCGTTTTGAAAACTAGGACTATTTTGACTCTTTTCGGAAAATTTAAAGGAGTATTTTAAACGATTCGATAACTATGAGTATCTAGTTGATGAATTTTTATTAAATGAGTATTATAGTTGAATAGTTAGTGGGTCACATCCATAATTAATAGTTACCACTTGACCATGTCTTGAATTAAGTTAGAGGGATTAAACGGGTATTGCATCATAACTGGAAAAAAAATATAAGCGAGCATTGGCGGCGTGGGCAGAAGAGTTACTCATGAATCGTGCATTTCAGGTGAAACTTTCAAATTTTATAATAAAGATATATTATGTTTTTCTTAAGATTTAGTGGGATAGTATGGTGCAAAAGTGGTAGGGATAGATGTTAGTTAATTGGATTATAGTGGTAGGAGAAAATTTTGTTTGTCTTCTTCGTGTTTAGGACCTGTTGTTCATTGCTAATTTTAGTAGTATAATTGATGTAATTAATGAGGTTCAGGGAAAACATTTGGGGGTCATATTGAGGTGCATTAATGGAGGGAGAAACCCTTTTGATTCTGAGGGTCGCCACTGGTTTTGTAACCAGTGGTTGAATTCAATTGTTATTAATTATTTGTCTTATGGTAAATCTAGTTTTAATATAGTGAGATAGGTAATAAATTATTAGATGTATATTATATGATTAGCATTGAACTTGAGATACTTGGAGGGATTGAGGCTTAACACTAGGTTTGAAATTTAGCAAATATGATTCTTGGCATATTATAATTTAATAGCATTATTAGTAATTTATATTAATTATAAACTAAATGAGGATGGCGTGATAAGAATTAATGGGTCAAAGTCTGTGATGGTTAATTATTTGTATTATATTGTTAACAATTAGATTGGTATTACGAAATGTAAATTGATCATGAAACATGTAACTACGGGTACACAAGGGGGAACGGGACAACTAAGAACACATTTGAGAAAATGTAATAAAGAATTTGCTCGCCTAGATGATATAGAAAGGGCTAATAGAAATGGAATACCTCAACCTGAAAATTCTATGGGAGCTGGAGGTTCTAATATGGTTCAAAGTGTATTAAATATGACTAACCCGGCTAGCTGAAGCACACACCGCACATATAGTAAAGAAAAAGATCGTACAGAATTAGCTAAAATGGTTGCTGTTTGTGGTTTGCCTTTTTCATTTCCTTCACATCCTGGTTTTATTCAGTATATTCGGGAATTGTATAACCCAGATTATGAAGGTATTCCAAGAAGTACAATTAAAAGTGATCTTTTTAATTATCAAAAAGAATATTGTCATTTTCTTCGTTGTTTATTTGTTTATTATGATGGTAGATTATCTATTACTTCTGATATGGGACGTAGTCCTAATGGTAATGATTATTTTACAATTACTGTCCATTGGATTGACCATGAATGGAACATGCAAAAACGAATATTAGGATATAAATATGTTGAAGAAACTAAAATTGGTGCTTATATAGCAACAAAAATAGGCCTTGTTTTACAATTTTATGGAATATGTGATAAAATAATGAGTGTCACTTTAGATAATGCTTCTAATAATTTGAAAGCAATTGATTATTTAAAATGTAGACTTTGTCCAATTGATAATGATTCTTTTCATATTAAGTGTGCCGCACATGTGTATAATTTGTTAGTAAAAGATGGTATTTCTCAATTTGGAATTTCTTGTGAAAAAATTAGACTTGCTTGTAATTGGATTTTTAAAGCTAAAATAAAAGCTAGAATTACAGAATTTAAAAATCGTTGTAAAGAATGTGGACTTGAATATAGAAAAGTTCTAAAAGAAGTATGCACTAGATGGAATTCTTTATTTGAAATGCTTCAAGTTGCTTATATTTATCAAGAGCCGGTACAATTAGTTTTTAATGCTCATAATGCGGACCCGAATTTGAGAATTGGCTATGAAGATTGGGAAAATACAAAAGAACTTATTGAATTTTTAAGTGTTTTTTATAAAGCAACAAATTCTGCTTCTGGTCAATATTATCCAACTATTTCTTCTGTTTTAGTAAATATTTGTGCTATTTCATCTGAATTTGCAAAATATAAAGGAAAAGATCGATTTGAAAATTCCCTTGCTTTTATGATTGAAAATTTCAAAAAAATATTTTTTCCCTATTCCTCAAATCTATTTGACTGCTATTACTTTCAACTCAATTACAAATTAAAAGGTGTCGAAAGAATGGTTGAAAAGATTTATGCAAATTTAGAAATTAGAGATGATGAAACTCCTAGTGTTGAAGATTGTAAAAGTAGCATATATATAAAAGCTAGAGAGTTATATAATACATATAAATCTATGGAAAAAAATATTCCAATAGTTGAACCTCCATCTTGTAAACCTAGAAGCGATGATACGGATGATTGGATGGATGATTATCTTGAACTTGAATCATCTACTAATAATGATTTTGATTTATATTTCAATCAGACACGAGAAAAGATTAGGCATGAAGAAGGACAACTTCAAGCTCCAATATTAGTATGGTGGAAGAATCGTGAAAATCAATTTCCGACCCTTGATAGGATTGTTTGAGATGTGCTAGCGATTCAAGCATCATCGGTCGCTTCGGAGCAAGCCTTTAGTGCGGCGAGATTTATGATTGGAGATCATCGATATTCATTAGCAAATGATAGTTTGGAAATATCGGTGTTGTTTCGAGATTGGGTCAATGCCGAAAGAAGAAATACCGGACTACCACAATTAAATAGCCAAATAGAAGACGAAATAGATGAAATATTTGGTGATAATAGTGATGATGGTATGGAAGCAATGGAAGAAGAACGACAAATACAAGTTCCAAAAAATGTTTCTTTTGAAATGATACAAAAGTTACGAAAAGATTTTAAAAAGAGTTTCAATTGTTAGTACAATAATTAATATTCAATACCTAGATTATGTACTCTTTGTCTATTTCTAATATTTGTATTGTACAATTTATTTATTTGAATAAATATACGGCTATTCGCCTTGATTTTCTTTTAAAATAGTCTCTTATATTTAATCCAAGTCATTTTAGAAATTTAATTTTCAACTATTTTAATATTAGTTTAAAGTTTAAACTTTACTATAAAATTGAATTTTAAGATTTAAACTTTAAATTCAATATAAACTTTAAACTTTAAATTCAATATAAAGTTATAAACTTTAAAATTTAAAGTCAATTTTAAACTTTAAAGTTTAAACTTTAAACTTAAATTCAATTGAAACTTTAAAGTAACTTTAAAGTTTAAAGTTTTAAATTGAAGTTTTTTAATAATATAATTTTATTAATTAATAATATAATATTATATAATAATTAAAGTTAATAAAAAAATAAAACAAAAGTACCGGTACAAAATGATCCGGTAAGAACCGGTTCCAGTCCGGTCCAAACCGGTTTCAATCCGGTAACTAAGGGACCGGATGGAACCTTTGGAAAATTTTGGTAAAATCGGTTCCGGTAACAAAATCCGGTAACGAGGACCGGTTCCGGTAAAACCGGTCCTGTTGATCCGGTCCTGTCCGTTTGCCAGCCTTAGTGGTGATATGGGACACTTTGTGAGAGATTGCCCTAGGACCAGACGTGGTGGCTTGCATAAGAGTTCTCAGGCTTTGACTTCCAGGGCTGCACAACCTCCAGCTAGGGGAGGTGTACAGAGTGGCAGAGGTGGTTCTCATTCATGTAGATGTGGTTCTTCTTCTGGTCGAGGTGGTGGTCGTGGAGGTTCACAATATGAGGGTGGTCGTTCTCACTGTTATGCTTTTCCGGGTAGGCCAGAGGCTGAGGCTTCAGATGCTGTTATCACAGGTATTATTTCGGTTTGTCATCGACCAGCTACTGTATTATTTGATCCAGGCTCTACTTATTCTTATGTGTCCACATATTTTGTTTCGAGTCTGGATATAGTATGTGAGTCTCTTGATTTGCCGGTACATGTTTCTACTCCTGTCGGGGACTCTGTAGTGGTAGATCGGGTGTATCGATTATGCATAGTTATCTTGATGGGATATGACACTCATGCAGATTTAAAGGTCTTAGATATGGTAGATTTTGATGTGATTCTTGGTATGGATTGGTTATCTCCTTATCACACAATTTTAAATTGTCATGCTAAGACAGTTACATTAGCTATGCCTGGAATTCCTATAGTAGAATGAAGAGGTTCACTTAATCACCCTCCTAAAGGGGTGATATCATTTCTTAAGGCTCATCACTTTGTAGAGAGAGGATGTTTGGCTTACTTGGCGCACATTTGAGATACTAGTGTTGAGACTCCTATGCTTGAGTCTATCCCAGTGGTGAGTGAATTTTCGGAGGTATTTCCTACAGACTTACCAAGTCTTCCACCTGATCGTGATATTGATTTTTGCATTGACATAGAGCCAGGCACTCAGCCTATTTCCATTCCTCCTTATCATATGACACCAGCTGAATTGAAAGAATTGAAGGAGCAGTTGCAGGATTTATTGAGCAAGGGTTTTATTAGACCAAGTGTATCTCCTTGGGGTTCTCCAGTGTTATTTGTGAAGAAGAAAGATGGATCTATGCGCATGTGTATTGACTTCGGCAGTTGAATAAGGTAACCATCAGAAATAAGTACCCGATACCTCGTATTGATGATTTATTTGATCAGCTGCAGGGTGCTTCTGTTTTCTCCAAGATTGACTTGAGATCCAGCTACCATCAGCTAAAGGTTAGGGCGGAGGATATCCCTAAGACAGCTTTTCGAACACGTTATGGCCATTACGAATTTTTGGTGATGTCTTTCGGATTAACCAATGCCCCAGCAGCTTTTATGGACTTGATGAACGGAGTGTTCAGACCGTACTTGGATTCCTTTGTTATTGTCTTCATAGATGATATATTGATATACTCCCGTAGTAAGGAGGAACATGGGCATCATTTGAGGATTGTGCTTGGGATTCTGAAAGAGAAGAAGCTCTATGCAAAGTTTTCAAAGTGTGAGTTTTGGCTTAGTTCGGTAGCATTCTTGGGACATGTAATGTCCAAGGAAGGTATTATGGTAGATCCTAAGAAGATTGAGGTAGTTCGAGATTGGGTCAGACCTGCTTCAGTTACTGAGATTCGTAGTTTCTTAGGCCTTGCAGGTTATTATCGACGGTTTGTAGAAGGGTTCTCATCCATTGCATCCCCATTAACTAGATTGACCCAAAAAGAAGTGGTTTTCCAGTATTCTGATGAATGTGAGGTGAGTTTTCAAAAGCTTAAGACTTTATTGACTACTGCTCCAATTTTGACCCTACCCGTGGAAGGAGAGGGTTTTGTTGTATATTGTGATGCTTCTCGAATCGGTCTTGGTTGCGTATTGATGCAGAAGGGGAAGGTGATAGCTTATGCTTCGAGGCAGTTGAAGGTTCATGAGAAGAACTATCCTATTCATGATTTGGAGTTAGCGGCTGTTGTGTTTGCGTTGAAAATTTGGAGGCATTATCTTTATGGTGTGCATTGTGAGGTGTTCACAGATCATCGTAGTCTCCGGAATATATTCAATCAGAGAGATCTTAATTTGAGGCAGCGGAGATGGTTGGAGTTGCTCAAAGACTACGACATGACTATTCTTTATCATCCATGCAAGGCAAATGTGGTAGCAGATGCCTTGAGTCGGAAGGCGGTAAGTATGGGTAGTCTAACCATGTTACAGGTTGGCGAGCGTCCTTTAGCTAGGGATGTTCAATCCTTGGCCAATAGCTTTGTGAGGCTTGATATTTCAGAATCTGGTAAGGTTTTGGCTTATATGGAGGCTAGGTCATCCTTGTTGGAGCAGATTCAGACTCGACAGTTTAATGATGTTGATTTATGTAAGATTCGAGACAAGGTGTCAAAAGGAGAAGCAAAAGATGCAATTCTTGATAGTGAGGGAGTTTTGAGGATAAAAGGTCGTATTTGTGTTCCTCGAACGGGTGATTTAACTAGACTGATCATGGAGGAGGCCCATTGTTCGAGGTACTCTATTCATCCGGGGGCTACTAAGATGTATTGTGACTTGAGCAGCATTATTGGTGGTGTCGTATGAAGAGGGACATAGTAGATTTTGTATCTCGGTGTTTGAATTGTCAGCAAGTGAAGTATGAACACCAAAAGCCTGGAGGTGTGACTCAGAGGATGCCTATACCTGAGTGGAAGTGGGAGCGTATTGCTATGGACTTTGTGGTAGGGTTACCACGTACATTGGGTAAGTTTGATGCTATATGGGTCATTGTGGATCGATTGACTAAGTCTGCACACTTCGTATCAGTTCAAACTACCTATAATTCAGAGAAGCTAGCCAAGATCTATATTCGAGAAATAGTTCGCTTGCATGGGGTTCCTATTTCTATTATATCAGATCGTGGCACACAATTTACATCTAATTTCTGGCGGTCTATGCAGAAGGAGTTGGGCACTCGGGTGGATCTTAGTACAACCTTTCACCCTCAGACTGATGGTTAGTCTGAACGGACTATTCAGGTTCTTGAGGACATGTTGCGGGCGTGTGTGATCGACTTTGGTGGTCATTAGGATCAATTTTTGCCTTTAGCAGAGTTTGCTTACAATAATAGTTATTGTTCGAGCATTAAGATGGCACCATTTGAGGCTTTGTATGGTAGGAGATGTCGATCTCCAATTGGTTGGTTTGATGCATTTGAGATTAGACCGTGGGGTACAGATCTACTGAGGGAGTCCTTGGACAAGGTTAAGTTGATCCAAGATAGATTTCTCATGGCTCAGAGTAGGCAAAAAAGTTATGCAGATCGGAAGGTTCGTGATTTGCAGTACATGGTGGGAGAGCGGGTTCTATTGAAGGTTTCACCCATGAAGGATGTGATGAGATTTGGAAAAAAGGGCAAGTTGAGCCCAAGATATATTGGCCCTTTCGAGATTGTAGAGCGTATTGGTGAGGTGGCGTATCAGTTGGCTTTGCCACCTGGTTTGTCGGGTGTTCATCCTGTATTTCATATTTCGATGTTGAAAAAGTATAATCAGGGTGGTGCTCATGTGATTCAATGGGATTCAGTGTTACTTGATCAGAATTTGACTTTTGAGGAGGAGCCGATAACCATTTTGGATAGGCAAATTCGAAAGTTGAGGTCGAAAGAGATTGCTTCAGTAAAGGTTCAATGGAAGCATCGTCCAGTGGAGGAGGCTACATGGGAGACCGAGTCAGACATGAGAAGTAGATATCCTCAGCTTTTTGAGTGTTCAGGTGCGTTCTATTCTTTTACCATTCGAGGACGAACATTTGTTTAAGTGGTAGGTGATGTAACGACCCGCTAGGTCGTTTTAAAAACTAGGACTATTTTGACTCTTTTCGGAAAATTTAAAGGAGTATTTTAAACTATTCGATAACTATGAGTATCTAGTTGATGAATTTTTATTAAATGAGTATTATAGTTGAATAGTTAGTGGGTCACATCCATAATTAATAGTTACCACTTGACCATGTCTTGAATTAAGTTAGAGGGATTAAACGGGTATTGCATCATAACTGGAAAAAAAATATAAGCGAGCATTGGCGGCGTGGGCAGAAGAGTTACTCATGAATCGTGCATTTCAGGTGAAACTTTCAAATTTTATAATAAAGATATATTATGTTTTTCTTAAGATTTAGTGGGATAGTATGGTGCAAAAGTGGTAGGGATAGATGTTAGTTAATTGGATTATAGTGGTAGGAGAAAATTTTGTTTGTCTTCTTCGTGTTTAGGACCTGTTGTTCATTGCTAATTTTAGTAGTATAATTGATGTAATTAATGAGGTTCAGGGAAAACATTTGGGGGTCATATTGAGGTGCATTAATGGAGGGAGAAACCCTTTTGATTCTGAGGGTCGCCACTGGTTTTGTAACTAGTGGTTGAATTCAATTGTTATTAATTATTTGTCTTATGGTAAATCTAGTTTTAATATAGTGAGATAGGTAGTAAATTATTAGATGTATATTATATGATTAGCATTGAACTTGAGATACTTGGAGGGATTGAGGCTTAACACTAGGTTTGAAATTTAGCAAATATGATTCTTGGCATATTATAATTTAATAGCATTATTAGTAATTTATATTAATTATAAACTAAATGAGGATGGCGTGATAAGAATTAATGGGTCAAAGTCTGTGATGGTTAATTATTTGTATTATATTGTTAACAATTAAATTGGTATTAGGAAATAAAAGATGGTTCCAAATTGGAAAATTTAAATGCTGCAACGTTGTGCCTTTTCTGGAATTATTAGGATAGAGGGAAAATCTTTAGGTAATAATTAGGATCCTTATTAATGACTATATTGGAAGGAAACCAGAATGTTTAGATGTTAGGTGTACTATATTATATCAATATTAGTAGATTAAGATATTTGGAGAGATCAAGACTTAACCCTATGCTTGAGATTTAAGAAAATGATTGTAAATTTAGATGAGTATTTGGGGATATAGATAAACATATAGCAATATGGGTGTATACCGACTCATTCACTTACAAAATATTGCATAATTGGTAGATTGGGAACGTTCGGAAGCTTTGCGAAAAGGGAAGGACAAATCTTGAGGGTTCGTGGCACGTGTTCGGCATTCAAGGTATGTTAAGACTTTTAGACTTCGTTGGACGACGTTTTCCTAATTTAAAGATTAAAATAAAAATGGAATAGACAATGGGTAAGGGCGAAAGATGGGGGTCTCGTACCAATGGTGTGACGGGCATTGGTACGAGTACCGGTGTTATAAAGGGAAAGCCTATTACTATAGAATGCGGATTTTAATCCGAGAATGCCAAAGCATATGGGCGTTAGCTGATATATTATTGTCTGATTATTTGTGTGATTGTGTTCTTATTTGAACCCGTATACTTGTGATGGTTGAGGTGGTTATGTATTACGTTGATACTTGATTGATTTAGATGCATTACCATTCCCTTATTTGAGATTATATTGTGCACATGCATTGACATGAAATTGAGTATAAGTTGGGCACGTGGAGATCGTCCGTGCTGGGGATGGTGAGATGCTAAGATTTTATTTTGGGCACGTGGAGATCGTCCGTGCGGAAATTGTTGATTTTATGATAGTGCGTTGAGATTATCCGCACAGACACGTGGAGATCGTCTGTGTCGGTATATGGACCTCGCGAGTCCCCCATGGGTCATGAACTCTCAATGTTTTTCCGAAGAGT